AAATGCTTCTAGCTAAACAAATTAAGACTGGCCGCCAGAATTGTCAGAAAACACCCCCTTAAAATTCTAGCCTTCTAGCTTCTCCAGTTGCCGAGTTGGCAGCTTGCTCGTAAAAAACTTTGGCGGGCTCGTACGTGGGTACCACGCATAGTCGGGAGCTGGGCTTGAGTTCATTAATACGTTCTTAGACGGGGAACATCTCTTTAAAATTTCAGTCTTCTAGCTTCTCAGGTTCCTGAGTTAGAAAGTTACCCGAAAAAAACTTCGGCGGGATTGTACGTTACCAGACGCACTCGAAGGCCGGGTTTGAACTCATTAATATCTACTTAGACGGGGATAATTCCCTTAAAATTTCAGCCTTCTAGCATTTCTGGTTCCCGAGTTAGCAGGTTACCATAAAAAAATTAGGCGGGCCTGTACGTCGGTACCACGCGGACAAGGGTGCCCATTTTGGGGATTGGGGCCCGCGCACGTATGTAGATTAAGTTCCCTAAGTTTCAGCCCTGCAGCTTTTGTGGGTCTCGAGATAAAATATCGGTACAGACGCACGGCACACATACAGACATACACACAGACAGTCTTTCGCCAATACGCGTCTTCTGCACTGCACAGCTGCAAAATATGCATAAAAATAGTTGCCACTCTCAGTTTCTCGCCAATTCAAATCTCTTCTGGATTCATTACCTGTTCGTTCCCAAATCGAAATTTATAAGTGCCCGGCCCAAGCGATTCCCTCTGCAAGAGATCAACGGTAGGCATTGCTGGATACAAGAATATCGGGATCCACTCATCCATATCATCCAAACCACGTATTTCGTTCTCTTCGAATGCATTACTTTTATAGATTGCCATCGTGTAGCTTCGTTCCGCGTACCTGAAAGTCAGTTTTTAGTGATTTCTGGCCCAGATTTTAAGGCGTGGATTATCTTGGAACTAAAGTGGGCTTTCATATCCAGAAGAAAGACAAATCAGGAGTAAAAATAACTTATCGACTTGGAAGTTAAATCCTCTTCATGCACAGCCTTGCGTAGAGAATTTTTGATACCCTGAATTTGCTCGATAGCGATATTCAGCAAACTATAGGTTAAAATTAAGCATGATTCCAAGGAAAATTATTGAAATGCTGTATTTTTAGGACAGAAATAGTACTCACTGGCTTCTTCATGAACTACCTAAAGCAATAAACCATCATCTGCGCTCAAAATTTTATTATCCAGAAATTTGAATAAAAATTTTTTCGGTTGACCTGTTAAGTGATAAAAATGTTTTGCCGGTATACGGATGAAGCTTGATGGTGACAATTTTATATCGCCCGGGAATAAGCGTCAGCGAAGCCAGATCACCATGTGCCGGAGCGGCTTCATCCGGTTTCCAGTATAAATGTTCCGGGATGCTCTCATTTGGTATTATCAATCGATCCCTGTTATTTCAATTGGTTTACTTAGTCTTAATTCACTCAGAGGACATAAAAATGAAGCAAGAAAACAGCTTAGACTATTGTATCAAGGCAAGCGTCAAGTTTCTTCTGGCCTCGAATGAAGCTTGCCCAGTGCTATAACCGTATATTAAATGGCAGTCGATGGATGCCGTCAACATAAGTGGATCCAGCACGGCTTCACGGGGGCTGGGGAGCCGGGGGTGTGAAAGAAAGTCTTCTTCAGTTTTAGCTTTAAACCCGGACTTTTGTAACACTGGTATCTGCGCCCATCGCTCCTATCCTTGGATTCGCCAAAGCGTTTGACGTGTTACGAGGGATATTGTTTTTATGCACTTTTTGCAGCTATGCTATGCGGGAAACGCATACTGACGAGAGGTTGCCTGTGTGTGTGTGTGTATGTGTGTCTGTGTGTCTGTGTTTGCGCTGGGCCTCTGTACCAACTTTTCATCTCGAAACCTACAAAAGCTACAAGGCTGAAACTTTGGGAACTTGATCTACATGCATGTACGGACCCTATCCACAAAATAGGCGGTCTTACTTATGGCCCGTGAAATTTTTTCGCAGGTAAGTCGCTAACTCGCGAACCAGAAAAGTTAGAAAGCTGAAATTTTAAGGAGATGTCTCCCATCTACCTAAGTCTCATTGAGCTCAAAGCCAGCCCTCGGGTATGCTTGGTACCTACATACAGGCCGCCAAAATTTGTTTAACTCGAGAATTTGAAAAACTAGAAGACTGTAATTTTAGGAGCATTTCTCTTTCATCTAAGTCTCATTGAGCTCAAACTCAGACTCCGGGTGTGACTGGTACCCACATACGGGTCCACCATAATTTTTTTCGGATAAGTTGCTAACTCGGGAATCGGAAAAGCTAGAAAGCTGAAATTTTACGGGGAAGTTCCCTGTCCACGTAAGTCTTAGTGAGCTTAAAATCAGTTTCCGGGCAAGCGTGGTACCAAGTACGGGCTCGCCAAAGTTTTTTTCTGGTAAGTTGCTAACTCAGGAGCCAGGAAAGCTAGAAAACTGAAATTTTAGGGAGGTGTTTCCTGACAGTTCCGGCGGCCAGTCTTAATTTGTTTAGCTAGAAGCATTTGCCGAAAAAACCAGTGCCGATAGCGACAAAAACTGCGGAGAATTATGCAAAAAATGCATCTTCGCACGGACAGGCCGTGCGTTGGCCAATTATTAACCCAGGCTGGAACGCGCCGGGCGGCCTGTGCGATCATATGTTTTTGCACCGGACTTGAATTACTCAGGTCATTAACTGTATGAATGGTTGCTGCTTTAAACCTACCTTTTGCGGTCACTAGCATAAATCACCATAAATTTTGCAAAATAAATGTATAATTTCCATTTAACAGTCGTTCTTTAAAAGTGACCTAGTTGTTCAGTGAGAAATTTTTTC